GCTGGCTTTTGTCCACTGCTATACAAAGCCAAAGACCCCGTGTCTAGCAGATGGGAGTCTCTGCAGTAGTTATATTTCCTGGGATCAGGAGAGCTGGGCCAGTTTTCCTGGAGACTATCAAATGCTAACCTGTCCTTCCTTCTGCCGCCCATCCTACATTTATAGAAGCCCTCTGGGTTTCCCACATTGAGCTTGGTCCTGGAGTTACAATGTCCCTAGGCAGGCCAAGCAAAGAAACAAAACACCTAAAGCTCAACACGGTAAGTGCCATCTATGAAAGAGAGTCTGTGGAAGCTCAGAAGAGCAAAACAGGGTCAAGGTGCAGGAAGGCTGCTTGGAGTGAAGGAGGAAACAGACAGAACAGGCTCCATCTTGAAAGCAGGACTCCATCTTGGGCTGGACTGTGGACTTTGAGCTACAGGCCCAGTATCTATGGAAACGACATACCAACTGGAAAATCAGACCTCCCCCCCCCCCACCAATGGAAGAGCCCCAGGGCTCCGTCTCCTAAAAGAATACCCTTATTATCTGTGTAACCGAATAGAATCGTAAATTCTATTATGCTTATTGGGGTATGACCACAGGCCTATTGATAATTGTCCACTGTTAACTACCTAGGCTTAAGGCACATGATTCACAGGTTAACTTTGTATCTTTCTTTTCCTTTGTTCAGACTAGTTTCAGGGAATTTGGGGAGGTGGGTTTGGGCACGTACACTCAGGGTATATAAGGTTTTCACAAAAAACTGGTCGGGGTCCTTGACTAAGAGTAGACTCTGCCTTGGGCCTGCTGGTGTAATAAACTGCACTCCACTATCTGCATTGTCCTGTGAGTCAGTTTGTTTCCCGGAAACCGTGGCTACAACAGGAGGACATGATGCTTGAGCTGGACATCCGAGAAATATATAGCCATGAAATATGTATGCCAACCATGGCATATTTAGTGTTTCACTTTTCACATTGTTTTGTTTAATGCACTGGAAATTTATTTTAGTGTAAGATGTTAGGTTGAAATCTCACTTACTTTTTCAAATGCTAAAGTGTTAGTCACTCAGTCATGTCTGACTCTCTGCAACCCCATGGACTGTAGCCCACCAGGCTTCTCTGTCTATGGCATTTCCCAGGCAAGAATACTGGAGTGAGATCCCATTTCCTTCTCCAGGGGATTTTCCTGACTCAGGGATAGAACCCGAGGCAGGCTCCCGCACTGCCTGCCGTCAGATTCTTTACCATCTGAATCACCAGGGAGGCCCTTCAAATGCTAAGCTAGTGGCAAGTGTTTTCCAAATAATTCATCTTCCCTCACTTGAGATGCCATTTCTGTCATATGCTGAAATGGTATATGTTTGATCTGTTTTTTTCACTTTAAAAAGGATATTTAGTTTATTTTGGGCTGTTCTGGATCCTCACTGTTGCACGTGGGCTTTCTCTAGTTGCGGTGAGTGGGGGATACTCTTTACTGAGGTGCTTGGGCTTCTTGTGGTGCTTCTCTTGTTGTGGAGCACAGGCTATAGGTGCTCAGGCTCAGTAGTTGCGGCACAGGGTTTAGTTGACCTGTGGCATGTGGGTTCTTCCCAGATTAGGGATCAATCTGGGAATTAGGTGGATTCTTAACCACAGGGCCACAAGGGAAGCCCATGTCTTCACTTTTTATTTTGTTCTATTGATCTAGGTTGCTGTTATTTAGTTGCGTCTGACTCTTTTGTGACCCCATGGACTGTAGACCTCCAGGCTCCTCTGTCCATGGGATTTCCCAGGCAAGAACACTGGAATAGGTTGCCATTTCCTTCTCCAGAGGATCTTCCGGCCCAGGGGTCAGACTCATGTCTCCTGCATTGGCAGATGGATCTTTACCCCTGAGCCACCAGAGAAGCCCCTTGATCTAGGTAAGAAGATGCGCTATCATAGTGGCAAAGTTAGTAGGCTCTATGGTCTGATTATCTGGGGCGTGCCTCAGTTTCTTCATTTGTGACATGGAGATAATAATAGTACCTACTTCATAGGGTAGCTGTGAAGATTGAGTGAGATTATGCATATAAAGTACTTATTAGAGCCTGGCACAGGGTAATCAATGAATGAATGTCACCTGCTATGATGATACTATCTGCCCATTCCTATACCAGTAACTGAGGAAGATGAAATTACTAAGCACAAAGTTTTGAGTCAGTTGGAACAGTCTCCTGCTTACTGCCTGCATGACCTCAGGCAAGTTACTTACCTTTTACCTTCTCTGCTTTGGTTTCCTCATTCATACCTGGGGATATATTAATAAAAGTACCTATTGCAGTCTGTTGTGAAAATTAAACATGCAATGTCGCATAGACATGATATATAATAGCCCCTCAATAAATGTTTAATCTTCTGCTGATTATTATTATGACATTATAACTTATTATCTGTTTTCATGTGTTGTAAGGCAAGCTCCTTCTCATTATCTTTACCCCCCAAATTTTCTGGGGTGTGGCAATCTTTCAGGGCCAGTTCTACTATGGGTGAACAAGACAGAATTTCTGGATCTGCAAGGCTGATGCCTACCTCTTGAACTGTGTTGAAAGTCAGTGTGATAATGAAGTCATGAGTGGGTAACCAGTAGGATTTGGGGAAGAATGGAGAAGGGGGTTGGGGTGGGCCTTTGAAGCTCATATGGCAGGTTTCTGAAAATATTTTAATTTTGCCTTAATTTTCACTTTAACAAAGGAATTTGCATAGTTTAAAAGGCCATCTAGTTCTATAAGATAGTCAGTGAGAAATAACAGGGACTTCTCTGGGGGGCCAGAGGCTAAGATCTCAATCTCATAATGCAGGGGGCCTGGATTCAGTTCCTGGTCAGGGAACTAGATCCCATGTGCCACAACTAAGACTCAGCACAGCCAAATAAATCAATAAATATCTTTTAAAAATAAAGGAAAGAAAAATAACAGTCTCCTGCTACATTTTCCTACCTTTATACATATACTCCTCTGTAAACCACTCTCAAGTCTCTAAGATGCTTTTCTTTTGTACTTCCCTCTACATTTCTTTTGTTTTGTTTTCTTTTTTTTTTTTTTCCCTCTACATTTCTAAATAACATGCTCATGCTATTATTTCTTTTTTTATATTTTAGGTATAATCAATCAACTGCCTGCCATGGAAAATGAGGATATAGTTCTCTCTAATCCTGATTCCTCATATACTGCCCCCCCTCCAATTAAAGTATATTCCAAATTTTAGTTAAATCAATGCTTGTGTTTACATTATTATGGCTGTGAAAATATTCTACACACTGAGTTATGTAGTGTTTGTAAAAACTGATTTTGTTAATTAACCTTGGGGACATGGGGCTGAGAAACTTCATTCTCTAAAATCATACAGTCACAACTTTTCTATTTGAAATCAAAAAGTGAGAATGGGACATATCCTACTCTTGTGGGAGGTTTAACCCATGTTGATTACTTTGATACAGAGAAGCAGCTTCAATTTCCAACCTAGGTGCAAAGATTCAGATATTGGGGTTTTGGACATATCATTCCACATTTATCTTAATTATGTAGTTATCTATTACATAATTATCTAAAATTATTTAACTTAACTTTGTAGTTTCCAAGTGGACCCGCAGTTTACTCCTCAGTCCAGGCTGTCGTTAACTCTTTCACTTACATCTGTGCTTACTTTGAACCTATCAAAATACTACTTCATTCAAATATCATCTGAACTCAACTGTTTCCCATATTCTGTAATGATTTGGCTTTTCCCTTTGTTTGATGAGCTGGTCCACAGTTCCTCTGGTTTGTGTTCTCTCTTGTAGCAGCAAGTGAATAAACCCAACTGTCCAATTACAGTTATGTTCTTAGTGGTCTTTATCAGACAGGCTTTTTAAATTCTCTTTCTTTCCTTTTATAACTCTTTGTTTTCCCTGAAGTTGATAATTGCCTGACCTTTTTTTTTTCCTTTTTCTTAATATTTATTCATTTATTTGGCTGCACTGGGTCTTAGTTGCAGCAAATGGACTCTAGTTTTTTGACCCGGGATCTAACCTGAGGCCCCCTGCAGTGGGAGCACAGAGTCTTAGCCACTGGACTACCAGTGAACTCCCTGCCTGACATTTTCTTTTACTTGGTTTTCTATATACCTGCCATGAATTCATCCCCCAAATTCTGAAAGCTGTATATACACCTTCTCTTAATACCCTAAACACATCAGGTTATTGCTCTGTCCCCACAAGTGTTTTCCCTTAAAGACACCTTCCTGGAGCACTTCGTCCTCTGGCTCCAAGTCCTACTGGTTGCTCCTTTGAATTTCTCTTTTAAAGTATGACAACTTCTGTTGTAGCACCAATCTCAGAGCACCACGTTTAGCTGTCAGTGCATCTGTTTCCTTGATTCCTGCTTTCTTCCCTCCACCAGAGAAGGGGCCATTCTTGACATTTCTATTTCTCCAAAGTCTAACGTGACGCTCAAGAAGTGTTCCACTGAGTGAATGAATAAAAAAGCGTAAATAAGTGAATGAATGAATGAGTGGAATTTTTGTGCAAAAGAAGCTTATTTAATAGGAACGATATTACATTCCCACTTTGTTGCAAGACTTAAGGGTGTCTTTAGGTTGTCTACAAGCCCCACGCCAGCTTTGAGAGGGGTCTCAAGGGAGAGATGCAGCACTGAAAGCTCTTCCGGCCCAGGCTGCAGCTGCAGGAGCAGAGCCTGCTGAGTGCAGCCTAGGTCAAGGCCGTGGCCGGGCACCCCTCGAGGACTACAACTCCCAGAAGGCAGCGCGGCGGCGAAAGCGCGAGCCGCGGAGGATTCCGGAAGCTGACGTCGGAGCTGTGTGGAGCCGGGAAGACGCCGGCAGGGTAGGTAAGTGTAGGTGAAGGGCCGATTGGGGAGGGCGGGAGCGTTGCGGCAGTGTCCCTGACGTTAGGTGGTATGGAGGGTGGGTGAGGGAGAAGGACAGGGAGTGGTCTCGGATGAAGAGCAGGTCGTGGGGTGTCAGGGACCTCGAGCTGTGCTTCCTCTTCCCGCAGTGTCCATGACGAAATTAGCGCAGTGGCTGTGGGGGCTGGCGCTCCTGGGCTCCACCTGGGCGGCCCTGACCATGGGAGCCCTGGGCCTGGAGCTGCCTTCGTCTTGCCGGGAGGTCCTGTGGCCACTGCCCGCCTACTTGCTGGTATCTGCCGGCTGCTATGCCCTGGGCACCGTGGGCTACCGCGTCGCTACTTTTCACGACTGCGAGGACGCCGCCCGCGAGCTACAGAGCCAGATCCAAGAAGCCAGAGCCGACTTGACCCGCAGGGGACTGCGCTTCTGACACTCTAACCCCGATTCCCTCCCGGACAGCCTGTTCTCCCATTCCCCATTAAAGGGCCAGTTTATTTTCTAAGCTTGTTTGGTTTGAGTATGGATGCTGGGAACAGATGTGTACTAACTGTTGAGAGGCTTCTTGAGGCTCTCTCACAGCCCTTTTGCATTTTGCTGGTGCTTCTTCCTTTTTGCTTTGAAGGAGGCACAGACCCCCTTTCTCAAGATCTCTCGATGGAAAAATCATTTCACTTTCCTGGTTTTTTTAGCCCTGTTAGGAGAGATTTTTTTTGAAGTCTGTTCTTCATAACACCCAAGCTCTGTTTATTTTTAAAGCCTTCTTAGGTCTTTCCAATCTCTTGGTTCTTCCAGATACCTTTTCTGAGCTAACCCTACCAGTCCAAGAGCAACTGTGAATCAGACAGTGCCCCTCTACCCTTTACCCAACCAGGTGGATTGATTATCCCTGAATAGAGAAGGAGCCTTGATGGGCAGGGGTAGGGAACAGTTTATTTTAAGGCACATTCTAAAGATTTCCCCCCACCTCCAAAATTAAAAAATAAAACTTGAAAAAAAAAAGTGAATTCATCTCTCAGGTTCCATCCAATTTTCTAACTAAAGCTTTTTCTTTAGTCCCCGGATTCTCAAAGCATTCTTTTCCTTAACCACAAACCACTGCCCCTGTGGAGCTAACCAGCAAGAGCAGCTGAACAAGGAAGTTTCTTTGGTAATAGGTTGGCATTATAGGTGCCCAGTGGTCAGGTGAACTCCCTCAGGTTTGTAGAAGCCGATAGTTCCTGTCTCCCTCCTGGGGAGTACTTCCAAAAAAGCCAGAAGCGAATGAAGCTGGTGAGAATTCCTGGAAGGTTGGGCACCTGAAATTACAAGGACTGCTATGAGGAGCTGATTTTCCACCTCATACACACCTGTCACCCTGCCCTTGTTCTGCTTACCACAATGTAGGGATCTTTTAGTCGAAACCCATAGAGTGTCCAGGAGGCAGAGGTGAGGAGGGTGGCAATGGTGAGTGAAAAGGAGAGACGCTGGGTTGATTTAGTACGAATGACCTTGGTCTATAGGAAAGGATGAAAGACACTCCTAACCAGGCACATGGTAAATCTCCCACTTTGCCCAGAATTTCCTCAAAAAAACCCCCCAAAAACGTCAAACAGCCCCCATGATCTTCTGTTACCCAACCTTTCCCTCCTGCCTCCCACTCACCCAGCTCTACTGCCCTGTCTCCCTCCAGGATTTGGGTCTTCCCTTCCTCTGGCCTGAAAGCTACAGTCTCTGTCCGTGGGAGATTTATCTCCCTTACCTCCCTGGACACCCCCACTCACCAAGTCAGCTAGTGGTGAGAGGTACATACTGATGGTGAAGACACTGCAGAAGAGGCCCAGGTGCTGAAGCCGCATCTCAGGGTCGGGCACCAGGAGCCAAAAGTAGGCAAAACCCAGGACAAGGACCGCCAGCAGGGTTGTAGTCTGAAGGAGCACGGCACGCTACAGAAGAGAGAGTAGCCATACTTCTGGATGTGCCAGGAGCCCTCTGACTCTGCTGCTGGAATGAATTCGTCCTGCCTTCACCCATGCTCCAGTCGGGGAGCCAGCCTTTGCCTAAGCCTCCAGTATAACACTTGCCACAGCCTCTTTCCCACCAGTGACTTCAGCATGGGTCTGATCTACCCAAACCCTGGAGGTTTCTAGGAGAGGGAAAGGTATATTTTTTGGGGTGAGCTTGCTACAGAGTAGGAGCTTAATGCTTGTGTGAATGGGGAAGCAGAGCTAATCATCTCACTCACAGCCACTGGCACTGACTTTGAAGGAACTGTGGAGACAAAAATCTCTTTTCACTCTGTTGGGCAGCAAGGCACTTTCAGGCTTGGCAGAGCTATCAGCTTTGCCAGAATGGGGACAATATGTGAATCTCAGAAGGCTGACGTTATGGCGGAAGGAGGACTGCAAGGCTGCAGGGGTCTTCCAGGAAATGGTGGCAGTGCCACCTGTTACAGTCTTCTAGGAAAAGCAGTGTTTGCCTTGCCAGCAAGGCAGGGCAGGGCGTGCAGCAGAGGAAGGGCCTCTACCTTCCGATGGCAGTAGTGCAGGTACACCAAGATATACAGAGTCTGAAGCACAGCACCCACGGCGTTGACGGTGATTAGCGTCCAGTTTCCCTTCAAGGCCCCGTAACTCAGCCAGCTCAGGTTGCTGCAGGGTGCAGGGGAGGGACATTGTCCCACGGGGTTGAGTGTGAGGGGGGGGACCCAAGGGGCCTCCTCACCCCTCCCCAGCCTCCCTCAGACAGCCTTTCCCCCCAGCAGGTATCGCCCCCTCTCACTTGACATCCGTGGTAAGAAAGGGCAGGAACTGGACACTGTCCACGCTCCGGGTCATCCGCATGTGTTTGAGGTCCGAGCTGTAACGGGGCCCCGAAGGCAGAGGGGAGAGGTGGAAAGGGAGAGCCAGGCTGCTGGGGAGTCGAAATCCCCGATGCCTGTCATCCTTTCCGGACAACCGCAGACGCCCAGCCCTACCCTCAACTCCCTGGCCTTCTCTCTCAGGTCAAATGACCAGCCTCGCCCTTGTACCCCGTTCCCCTCGACCCGATTCCACTTTGACCCTAGGTTCCAGATGTAACCTGACAGAGCGGCCACGTCTCTGTTCTCTCTCTCTCCTTTCCTGACTTCCTGCCCTGCCCTGCCCAAGCCCAGCCCGTCCGCTCGCTCACAGGCCGGTGGAGAACATGCCGAGGGTGAAGAGCACGCAAGCTCCAGAAAGAAGCGAGTCGGCCAATCCGCCCGCCTCCATCCCTCCCCGAGTCGCAGATCCCGCTCTCCGAGCCCGGGGCCAGCTGGCAGGATCCGGAGCCCCCGATGCCGGAGCCCCGCCCCTTCGCGCCCCTGGCTCCGCCCCTGCGCCGCTCGGCGGTCCCCCCGGAAACTGAACCGGAACCTGGCCCACCCCTAGAACGTCAAGCCCGAGCTCGGGCTCCGCCTCTCCGAGGGCCGGTCCCGACCCTGCACAGCGTTTAGGGTCTTCACGTTGCTTTCTATTTTCCGTGAGGCCCCCTTTCTAAGGCTCCGCGGGTTGTCCCGGCATCAGCCGCTCCACACTCTCGGCTTACTCTTTGGATCACCTAGATCCCCCAGCCTCAACTCTTTCCCTCTGGCCCGCGAGCCTACGTGGTGGAACTCCAAACAAAAGCTTGCTAGGCAGACTTCAACACGCTTCCGATGCAGGACCCCAGCTCACAGCTTCAAGTTGGCCAGAGTTTGGGAGATTTTCCCGTTTGCTGAAGACTCCTTCCGGTTTCTTCCCTAAATAACTGGAACTGCCAGGAATCACCGAGTCTTTGTGAAATGCCCTCCCCCTGCAGCCAACACTGCCAACTTTCTGTGACTTGGCGAATCCACTGGCCAAGTGTATCACTGACCCCCCGCTCCCAGTCCAACCAGCTTGCTGCTGGGAACTTTCCCTCCCAGCCTCCCACACGTCTTTGCTGGTGGGGCCATGAGGCGGGCCGCATGCCTCAGCTGGCGTTCCAAGCGGCTGCCTTGACTCACCCAGCAGCGTGAGTACCTGAAGAGTAAGTATGCCGAAGCCCAGCGCTGAGAGGGAGGGGTTGGGCAGCGGTTGGACACAAGGACCTTCCAGAGTGGGGTGCAGCCTGGAACTGCTGTAGGGAGCACTCTTGTCCTGGGCAATTCTCAGAGGAGGAAACACCCTCCCTTATGGGCTGGTAAAAGGCATTATTTCTAGAGAGAGGAGAAAAAATTCAAACCCCCTTGCTACTGATATAGTGCAGAGCCTGGCAAGTAGCAGGACTCAGTGGTCATAAATTAGGAAGGAGGGGCAGAAAATCATGTCCAAAAAAACAAACACATTCCTTTATTTTGAGACAAAGAACACTGTATAAAAAAAAAAACAACAAACTCCAGTTGTAGAAATCAGCATAGACACACATCAAGTTCATATACATTCTGTACTTGTGGGCCCTGCCCTTCAGGCTACAGACTAGGCATAGACTCTGCACGTGGGCACTGCCCTTACAGTTACACTCTTTAAGAACAGGTTGGCACAGCCCCCCTGCTGGTGCAGCTCTGCGGAGTGATGTCCCAGGATGAGAGAGGATGCAGTGTCTGACTACAGACCTCCCTGTGGCAGCTCCACAGAGTCCTGGGGGAGATGCTGGGTCAACCCAAGCAAGCATGCTGCTTCTCCTGTCCCTGGCTCCCAAGCAGGAAACTGTCTCTTGCTCTTCCTTCAGAGCCATCCTGGCTGTCCATTGGAGGGGCATCTTTGCCAAGCTCAGTGTCCATCTTGTGACCCCAAGCCCCATCCAGTTCGGCTCCCACAGTGCCCTTCTTAGGAGGCCATGTCCGTCTAGCTTGTTTCTTTGGCTTAAGGGCAGGAATGGAGGGGAAAGGACTGTCTCCACTTCTTTGTCTATCCCTCTGACGTGGAGGTGGGAATGGCACTGTCAGGCTTTCTGACCTCCTTAGGGTTGAAACCCTTAATATCGACCCGTTTTGAGGCTGCTGGGTGGCAGCTTGAGCATGTGGTAGGAGTGGTTCCCAGGACTGGGGCCTTGGGAGGGGCCCCAGGTAGGTGAGGGAGGCCCGCCTGCCTCCTCAGCCTGGTTCCAATCCTTACAATAGATGTGGTGCACACCCTCATAGGATTTGCAGCAGCAGGAATGGCAGGAGCAGCACAGCCCAGGCTAGTGGGAAGAGGCGAGGGGCGGCGCTGTGACCGATGCTATGCAGAACCTGCACCTCCGGGTCATCTGCAAGATGAGAGGGCAAAGGCCTCCAAGGTGAGTGGCCCTACTGCTGGCACTGGCCCTCAGTCCAGCAAGGTTTCCCCTGCCCCTGCCTGGCAAAGGAGTCACTTTTTATACCCAGCCTCTTCAAGCAGACCCTGTTTGGTGCCCCAGGCCCAATTTGCTCCAGCCACCTACCTGCTGGAAGTCTCTTCTCTTGTGCATTGGCATGGGCCTGAGGGCTGCGAGCTGAAAGATAAGGGTGGTCGTAGGTCAGGTAACTTGGTACACGCAGGAGGCAAAGGAGTGGGAGTGCTGGCTGGACTGGGCAACGGGACTTCCCAACCATCCCAGATCTCTAGACCTGGCCCAGGACAGGATGGAGGAAGAAGGCCCACAGGACCCTGACACTCACTGATTTTGCCATCGATGAAAACCTTCAACTTCAAGCAGCGGTCTTCCTGGTGGTGCATGGGTTTGGCTACAAAATAAATCCAGAGAGTTTTAAGGAAGGGAAACTTTGTTGGAAGAAAATATTAAGTACAAATGCCTCTGGCCCTGCTTTCTCGGTCCCTACTCATTTGAATCCCTCTCTTCCCTCTAATCTTTGATTCTCACCTTCCCCACTTGCCCAGAAAGTTTTTGCCCACTTTCTGCCCCAAGTTCAGTCCAAACTCCCATTCTTGGGAATAACCCTTGACTTTGGAAGTGATGATAAAAACAATATAGACACTGTCCCTTCCCCACAGTCCGTTCTCCACTCCTCCCAGCCTGAAGTTGGGGTGACCTGCACAATATGCTCCCCTTCCCCAGCCACTATGTCCTTGCTTTCCCTAAGCCCCCTGATAGGGTGAGGCCTGGATCCATTCTACACAAAGTTGATCTTACAGTTCCTAAAATCTACCCTCAGGATAAAGTCCTTAGGACTTCTTGGGTCCTCATGCCCTAACCTGTGTACTTCTCCAGGCTCCTGTCTCCCCACTTCCAAGTGTCCCTCCTGCTCCAGTCTGTCTGAACCATTTGGAGTTCCCTGAGGATGTCATGCTGTCTTTGTACCTGACCTCTTGTCTGGCCAGCTCCTCTGCTTGCCCTAAGCTCTTGGGTCATCTTCCCCAGAAAGCCTTCTATGAGGTGCACCCCACTCCCCCAGACTGGCAGGTATTCAAGTCATTCTCTCAGGGCCTCTGAGCTCATAGCTACCATATCCCCCTATTCTAGTGGTATTAATAGATGTATGTCCCTTTGTAGATTCTGGAGGACAGAGACCCTGCAGTGTTCTATTTACCTCTGTGACTATAGTGCCAAGCAGAGTGCCCAGGACACAGTAGAAACTCACTCTGCATTTGTAATGAGAATGAATAAAAACAGAATTCAGGCTTGGAAGGGTCTGCTGCTTGCCTCCCCACTAGGCATGTACTGAAGTGTGTGCGTCATGTCAGGTGTGTCCCCGAGGGTGTGGACCTGTGCGCATGCCTCCCGGGCACTCACAGATGTAGTAGTAGCTGTGTCCCTCTTTGAAATCCTTGCTCAGGGTAAAGCCTGTGAAGCGGTGGAACTTCTCGGACAGCTTCTCCGGGCCATGCCTGGCCTTGGGGCTGTTGCAGAACCAGCGGACGTGGTCCCTGGATTGGGGCTGGCATAGCTGGTACTGCTCGTGCTCCACCAGGTACAGTGTGTACTGCTCCATGGCCGCGTCCGCCACAGAGTCGTCCTCGTAATGAGGGCAGATGATGTCCAGGTAGTCATCTAGCCGCACGTGTATTGTGTAGTCCTCATTCCAAAACCTGGACATGCGCAAAGGTGGGGAAGGTGGGTGGTCACTCAGAAGCCAGGCCAGAGCCTTTGAGCCTCCACATATTTACGTGACCCCTCACATTCCATACTGGACCCTACCCCAAAGATTTCTTAAAAAGTCTTAACTCCCAGTATTTACTGATCTTCATCTCTTAAATATCTTTCCACTATCTCCAAACATTCCCCCCACCATCATTGTCTGCCACTAGTCCCCTAAATAGCATCCACTTAGTATCTTTCAGGTACCAAAGCACTTCCGATAACCTCCCTGATATTTACCCAAGGATGGGCTTCTAAATATTTCCTCAGCTCACTCTTCTACTTATCAATATTTCTCCAACTCTGTTCTACCACTTGTTCCTTTAAATGCTGTTAGACCTCCATCTGAGACCCTATTGGCCTATTCAGTAATCAAAATCCACGTAACCTTTTCTCTTTCTCATGCTAGTGCTTGGCACCCAACAGTCTGTTTTCACTTTTCTTACTCCTCTCATTTTCCCCTTGACCCACTGAGTGTATCTCATATTGTTCAACTTAACTTTTCTCCCAATACCCAGGACATCCAGGCCCACAGATAATGCCCAGTCCTTTTAAGTTAAGTTGCTTTCATCAATTTTTCCAGTCCCCTCAAATCCCCCCCCCTTCTCAAATCAGTGCTCAGCTCTCCTGGTCCACTTCTCTCAAAGCACCCCAAAACCCCTCTTGTCCTTTTATCTCCGAAAGCCAAACATTCACCTCCTGTGAAATGAGCTCTAGAGAAGGCCCTCCTTCTTCCCAAGGTGGAGCCAGCTCCCCTCCCCCAGCCCATTCCCCCCAGGCTCCACAGGCTCCAGCCTGACTGCCCACCGGCCCCTCCCCGCCCAGCTCTAGACACCTGGCTCCAGTCTGGGTGGGGTCCTAGTAGGGGGAAAAGTGCCTCCCCACCTCCCTCTCCCAAGCCGGTCAGCTTCTCTGAATCCCCCCAAGCACTGCCAGCTAGAGACTCAGCAGAGTTGGCTGCCAACTTGCTTCAAACCAAAGGCAGGGGCATGGGTTGGGGGGCGGGGCGGGGGTTGGGCCGGGAGGCCTCTGAGGTGGGCACCCAGTGCCCAGTCAGCACGACCCTTAAGAGGCCTGGCCCTGCAGGAGCACGCTAGCGCACCGGCTTACCAAGGCCCTTCCCCCACCCTGGGGCAAAGAGAGAGGAGCAGAGAGAGGCTTTTAAAATTCCTCTGTGGAGAGATAAACACAGAAGCCATTTCAGAACAGGTATTTCAGCTCTGGGCCTGGCGTCTTTCCTCCATTCCCGTGACGGGCACTGACTCATTCCTCATCTGCCTCTGCCACCCGCCCCAGATTTCATGAGAACCTGTGAAAATGTCCCTCATCAAGTGTGCTCAGCCTCCAGGACCCCAGGACGGCCCGGTGCCCACCTCAGGCAAAGGGAGCTGACTGGTCTGAATCAGAGGGGTGTTCCTGTCCCTGGAGTACTAGGGCCAGCGCACAGTTCAGGCAGCACTGCCCTTCTTCGCACGCTGCCCCCTGCCTGGGGCCTGGAGATCCCGGGGCTGAGGCCCACTGCCCTGAGTCACCCATGCCAGCCTCACACCCGCCCAGCTCACTGCCACCTCATCTTTGCCCTCGGGCTGGGCCTGGCTTGGCTGCTTGTGGACCCCGCTCTGGGCTGGCTTCCCTTTAGTCCTGGGCATAGTAGTGTGCGTGTGTCCAGATGGACAGGGCAGACGCTGTGCTGGGTGGGTGCACCCATCACCCTCCCCCTGGGGGTACAATCTGCTCCACTTAGCACTCCTTTGACTCTTGCTTGCTATCTGGGAAAGGCGGGCAGCGGCGTCAGGGAAGGCGGGGAGGGGGGGGCAAGGAAGAGGCTCCTTCCTGAAAGAGAGGAAACCTGGGAGCTTGGGAACGGAAAAGGCCAGGGTCCTCCCCCTACTCACGGCTTCCTGTCCCCTCCTCCTCCTTCAGCCAACACCTGGCATGGGCATAAACAGGGACTTTGCTCTCTCCCTCTAGGACAAGATTGGGTCAAAGAAGCAAAGAACAGACAGAAAGGACTGAGGTGAGGGAGGGCTGACTACAGTCCTATCAGACAGAGGCTGATGGGCAAGAGGGCATTGCCCCTTTGGCTTGGCAGGTAGCTGTCGGTTCCCTCCCTCCCCAACAGACCCCCCACCAGGCAATGCTGCCACAAGGTCAGAGGAAACTGGCACAATCTATTTCTCAAGGGGAGTGGGGGGTAGGCCTGCTAGGGCTGGGGGTGGCCCAGCCGAGTGGAGTGTTTTCCCCTGACCCCAAGTTGCCCAGCTCTCCTCTCCTTACTCCACCCTACCCACCTCTCCTGTTTTCCCACAAATACTGTTCCCCTAACTTCAGAAAACTCCAGAACAAAGAGTCTGATGGGAACTTCTTCCTCCCAGTACCATTTGCCTCACAGCCCTAAATCTGCCCAGGAGAAATTAACTCCTTCCTGCCCAGAGCCCTTCGTAACCCTTTTAACCCCTTCCTGTCCTCCAGAACCATCCCCATGACCTCTGTCTCTCCCCTTCTTTTCAGTTTTACTACCTGAACCTCAGATACAGGTGACTCCTTCAAGCCTACCCACACACAACATATGCCTCACTCCTGCCACCTCAGAAGACCCCTGGGGGGGGGCATTCCAGGGACACCTTAAAATCAGAATAAACACTGAATTCAGGCAAGCCCAGGTCCCTCCTGAAGAGTCTTTCCAGGATTACTGTAAGAATTCTTCTTACTCTGGATGTCAAGACCCGTCAGTGTAGGTAAATGCCCCAATACACAGAGGCCTTTGTGGTAGAAGGGCTTAGAACAAGAGCCCTGAAGGTCAGAGAGAGTGCCCCTGCCAGAGGCAGGAGGTGTTCAGCATCCAAAGGATCGACAGTCTAGAGGGTGTACAGTAACAGACAAGTTACAGCTCAGTTTAGCCCAAGCAGACAGATCTTTTACTACACAGACACTCCTAAAACATGGGAGCAGACTGATCATCAAAAGAGCCTTCCTTACCCTTCCAGTTAATCCCTCTTGGCTTCCCCCTTTCATATGTCCAGTCTCCTCCTTTGGTTATGGCGGGTGCAAAGCAGAGCTTGTACCCACCACCAATGAATGAAAGGGAATGCAAATGGGCATACACTCAAGGCCGATTGACAATTGTAAGTCATATAACAGCAGGCTGTGTTGTTTATGTCTTCCCATAATTTGGTCTGTTACACTTAGATGTAGAATATTCATGAGCTCTTACTGGGCTCCTAACTGCCTAAGGTTACTTGGAGAAGCCCCTGTGGTTATTTTGTATCCACTGTGTGCCTATGGCGCATGTGCAGGCGTTGAAAGGTCTCTGTGGTTTTTTGTAGCACATCAGTGAGCTCTCCTGGGTGTGTCCGGGATGGATTTTAGAGATCAGCTTGCATCCCTTTCAGCGAGGCCTCCCATTGTTGCTCATGTCTAACTTCCCACCTAACAGAAGTAACAGCTGTAGCAGAGGGAAGTAAAAGAGGGGCAGAGACCGCACGGTGCAAGCAGATTCGGGCAGGGCCCTGCCCTGGGGTGTAACTCCCGGTTATGGGCGAGAAGAAAACCTATGGGAGCCCTCCCGCCGCTGGTCACCTCCCCAAGACTCAGGTTAGGGGCCGGGCGGGACAGTTAACCTGGAGGGGGTAGCGGTGCCAACCGGGCGTCCAGGCTGTCGGCCGGTGACTCGGGCTTACTTGGGGTTTGAACTGTTCCAGAAGACGGTGTGGCGGTCAGCAGCGGCCAGACTGCAGCACAGACCCAAGAGAGAGGCCCAGAGGAACTCCATAGCGCGGGGCCTGGCCAGGCCGGGCGGGGACGAGGGGCTCCTCCGAGTCTGGGTTCCCGCAGGGTTTCTCGGCAGCGCAGTCAGCACCGCGCTCGCAGCTCTGGCCCCTCCGCTTCGCGACTCCGCCTTTTGGGCCGGCGCCGCCCGACACCCCGCCCCGCCCCCGCCCCCGCCCCGCCCGGCGCGCGGCTGCCCGGGGCCTGGGGGCTGGGGAGGTGGAGGAGGGGAGGGCAGGGGGAGGGGAGCGGAGCGCGCACCTCCGCCCGGTGAATCTGCTCGCCGTGGTGTTTGCTCACTCGTGGGTCGGCGTGCAGCTTTGTGGGTCTGTGTCCCGGGCGCAGTCGCGTGCGGGAGAAGGGAACGCATTCCACATGCGGGTCTGCCAACTCGCGGGTTCCGGGCCTGCCTGGCGGCGCCGCGCGCCGATCTTGGCGGCTGCGAGGTTGTGGACAGGTCCCGCGCCTTTCTCGAGCCTTGTACGCCCGGGCTTGGGTGCCCGCGTTCCCACACTTTCCTCCTACCCACCCCCTTCCCGGACTCTGCTCGGCTGCCCCTCCCCACACACGAGGCTGTTTGTTTTTGTTGGGTTTGTCAATGTTGTCTTTGTTCGGGAGATTGTGTCATCGCCTAGATGCCGGGAATAAAGTGCGACCCTGTGTGTGATCAAGTATGTAACGTGTGCGGCTAGGGCTTAGGGCGCCTCTGACCGTCAGTGCCTGTGAGAGGAGGATCGTGGGCCCCCGAGGGGGTTCGCTCTTGTTTCTAGGGCTCTAAAGGGCACTAATGACCTCTGTGTGTGTGTGTGTGTGTGCGTGCGCCAACACGTGTGTACCGTGCGAACAGACTTTGAATATGGACTGTGAGAATCTCGGCCTGAAGGGCGACAAACTCAAACCACACATGTGCATCTGGCGTGTGTAAATACGTGTGAGAGCGCGCAAGCGTGAAAGCATTTGTGAGTAGTATCACAGCCGCGTGTGGGTAAGCGTGTGAAACTTTGACGAACGCATGCTAATGTCTGTGAACAGTGTGTGAAAAGGAGGGGGAAACGTGCACTGGCGAGCAGGAGCTGCGGCTGAAGGCCCGGAAGGGGTGCTTGTGCGCGGCGCCCCAGGCCGGGCGGCGGCTGTGTCTGGCCCAGTTTGGGCTGGGTCTTCCAGTCCGTCGGGCCCCAGTATCCAACTCGGCCCCCTCCCCCCGAGCCGTGTAAACAAACCCGCTGGAATTCGCCTCTCGGGGCTCCTCTCTCCGCCGGGGTCTGCTGCCGTCTGGAGCGGGGGATTGGGGGCTGGGTGTCTGCCTCCCAGCTCTCGGGGCGGAGAGGGCGGGCAGGTGTTTGATTAGGGGTGTGTGTGTGTGTGTGAGAGAGAGAGAGAATCTGGAGCTGGAGGTCCCAATGCTGTGTGCCCGCGTGCCTTTCGTGGTTCCTGTGTGCGGCTGTGTGACTCTTTGTATGCCCGCCCAGAGTTGATTTTGCGAGTCTGTGCACCCCTGGCCAGCTCTACCACGCGGCTGCGCAAAGCGGGAAGCTGCAGACCCGCCCCCCCCCATGTCTTTCCCCCCACCCCGAGAAGCTCGGGCCGAGCTTCCCCAGTTCCCAAGCTGTTTCATCCTCTTCTTTTGCGGCCAGGCCTGGCCACAACGCCTGTAATTACGGAGAGGGGGAGGGGGGCTGGGACGCCGCGGCTAGTCCGGCGCTGACCCCTGCCGGGGAGGAGCCTGGGCTTGAGGGAGGGCTCGGGCGGGGGCGGGGGCGGGGCGGGGCGGGGCGGGGCGGGGCGGGTCCCACCCCGCGTGGGGCTCAGGCTGCTAGAGGCCCGACTCGTTTCGATTCGCTGCGCGTAGGATAAATATTTACCCCCGCGCGGATTAGGTATTTGGCCGGGTAACCCTACGGCCAGGTCCGGCCAGGCTTTGCACAAGGCCCCCACCCCCTCGCACACACCTGCCCCAGGCGACGTGCCCCGCCACGCGTTTATCCCAGGTGCAGCCGCCCCTCCCGCCGGGGCCGAAGTCTACCCGCCGGCCAGCCCAGGGCAGTGCACCTCACGCGCGTTTTGCTCACTTGGGAGGACACCTGGGTGTCGTCCACCCACGTGTCCCCGGCGAGATACCCCACCCCCCTGCTCTTGTCCCGTAGGCTCGAAGTCCCACGAGGGCAGGGGTTTTTGCTTGTTCACTGCTGTGTTGCCAGTGCCTGGCACAGCACCTAGCACACGTAGTAGGCAGTCAAGAAATATTTGTTGAGTAAGTGAAATCAGTATTCAGTGTTACTTCTGTAAGACGTACTGCTCTGAAAAGAAACCAGAAGGGTTAGAGAAGGAAGGGGTGATGGTGGTTCTTCAGAGAGGGTGGTCCACAACTGCCCCCTGGAGGAGACGGTTTGGGGCACATCCCCCCTCCCCAGTTTTTTTGACCGCCGGGGTTTCTGGGCGGGAACGTGTGGGGTCCCTGGGCTGCGCCGCTCAGACCGGGCAGGTTCGGGCTCGCTCGGCCCAGCCTGGCGGGGCCACGTCCGTTCCCGCCCTGCCTGCGTCTAGGACTGGAGCAACCCGGGGGAGAAGAGGTGGGGGGAAATTCTGGGCACACGAACGGAACACGGAGCTCTCTTTCCCTAGGTTGGCACTGACCCCAGCATTCTCTCTTAAGGCTTGGAGCTCATCACTCTTGTATCCCTGGGTTTGTGCGTACGGGGGTCTTTCATGCGAATTAATGGGGCGCCTCTAGATCTTGGCTGTTGTGATGAACACCGAGGATAAGGGTGCATTTAGGATAAAACCCCTGTCCTTGGTTAGTCCTTAGGCCAGTAGGGGAAACAGACAAGCCACCTTTTAGCAACAAACTTGCTAAGCGGAAAAGCCGAGATTGCAGAGCCACAATGCACACTCGCGCTGCCTGGACACTCCGAGAGCCGATGCGACACCTGGTGGACTGGGAGGAGAGTTGCAGGCACTGAGCGATCCAGACCGAGACAGCAGAAAGGACTTTGGCTCGGAGACCGACCTGCAGACCAAGTTAGCCCGGTGCCCTCCCCCGTCGCAGCCCCCAGCCTGCCCAGGCGGGTCTAGTCTTGGTTCTTGCTTTGGGTTACCTCTCACCACAAAGTCGTGAGCCTGTGTTGGCTCTCAGCACCGCCACCCTCAGGCGAACATCTGGGCTCAGTGGCGGGAGCTGTCTGAGGTGTCTGTCTGTCTGCCCGCCTGTCTGGGAAATTCCCCTTATGAATCCTTTCTGGGAATTCCTCAAGGACAAGATTAACTCTCTGAGTGCCCTGGGGGAGGCCTGGCCTCTGGAGGGAGGTGCTGTCCACCTGTGGGGGCACCGTTGGCCTGGAGGTACCATTTCCAGAGTGGAACAGGCAGAGCTGAGCGCTCTGTGGTTTGGGGTGGAGAAGGACAAAACCACAAGACCCTGGGGCACAGCTAACCTGGCCCAACCTCTAAGAGCATTACTGGGCAGTGGGGTGATGGGGAGGGTGCAGGGAAGGTGATCCTGAGCTTGAAGCAGCCTCTGCTCCACTCCCCACATCATTAAAAAAAGCAAAGTGTATGTTTCCCATTTTACTAGTGATATGTGTGTGTTTTTCAAAAGTTGAAAAAGAGAACCGGAGAGTAAGGGGAGCTACCGGCTACTGTGAATATCTTCAACCCTTCCCTGCCAGCCTTTATTCTGTGAGGTTTTGTTTCTTTGTCTTTAGGTATTGTGTTAAATATGATTCACTTCTATTGTGTAATTCTTTTTCTGCCCTTTAACTTTATGACAGAGAATATTTTCGTGTATAACCTCTTTGTAAAAAGTATTTTTAACCACAGCATAGTGTTTCTTTGAATGGTTCAGAGATTGCTGTTGTAATGAGGCAGAGTAGAGATAAATAAACACATTCCCACTTTCAAGTACTCCTCAGCCACTGAGCAATTGAGTTGATTGTTTCCTAGAACTTGCAAATAACTCTGTGGTTAACTTTCTTTCAACAAGTTCTTATGGCACATCTGCTCTGGACCAGGCTCTGAATTGGGGCTGAATCCTTAGTGGAGGACAATAGGCGAGGGCCCTCCTCTACTGGAGCTTGCAGTTTCAGATGATACCTGGGCATATGATTATCTAGATTTTGGAGAATTTCATGGATATGTGTGTGTGCTATGTCGCTTCAGTTGTGTCTGACTCTATACAACCCTGTGGACTGCAGCCTTCCAGGCTCCTCTCTCCATGGGATTCTCCAGGCAAGAGTATCGGAGTGGGTTGCTGTGCCCGCCTCCAGGGCATCTTCCCAACCCAGGGATCGAACTCTTGGGAAATACTTTGGATATTACCAAATCAAAACCAGATTCTTTTGGCTACTAGTCTAGTTCTGTTAACTGAGGGCTAGAACCTAATGGATCTGTCTCTCCTCCACATCCAACTCAAAAGGGGCCAAACTCTGTGGGAGAAGATGGAATTCTCTCCTTGGGAGTCCCCTGCAGGGAAAAGGAGGTTGGGCAGGATGGGGAATGGGAGGGAGATTGGAGGAGTAGTATTAAGGAAGATAGGACCATAATTTCTGCCTAGAAAGCAACAGGAAGTTGTTGTTTTTTTAATGCTGCCTCTTCCACCAAAAATTAATTAGTCACTTACATCAACTTCTCTACTGGGAAGTCCTGGGGGCTCTGAAACATATCCTTGTCCTAAAGGAATTTAATCTACTTGCAGATACATACTGAGAATATAAAATAAGGATTATAGTAGAGGTATAGATGGAACAACAGGACGTGGGTTCACAGAGGAAGGATGTTTCTTTGAGGTCAGGAGTGCTTCACAAGGAAGGGGATATATATGTTTCTTCCTCTGCCTGCCTTTGAGTCTTTGCCAACCTGGCTGACTCTGGAGGAGATATTCGCAATGGGTTTTGAAAGATAAGTAGCCATTCACATTCAGGGACAAGGGAACAAGAAGCACAGGTAGAGAGGTGAGAGTTGTGCAGTGAATACTCTGGTAAAGCTAAAATTGCAGAACTGGTCTGGGGC